AGATAAAAAATTCATATAATGCGGTTCGAACTCACTTAGCATATTAGTTGAAATAAAGGCAGATTTGACAAATCAATTTTTCGAAAGAATAAGAATCGAGAATACTTCTTTAATTGGAGGTAACTTTGTAAAGTGCAACTTAAATGAATCTGAATTCAGCAATGTGGACATAAGTGGAATTATTTTAAACGGGGCACTTCTTTGCAACTGTAAATGGAAGAACATTAAAATCGACTAATTAAATTAAATATTTGGTCATGTTAATAGAATCAATTAAATATGCTTCTCACCCAATGGAACTATATTAGCTTCAGGTAGTAGTGATAAGACAATCCGTTTATGGAATGTTAAGACAGGATAATAAAAAGCCTAATTAAATGGTCATAAATGGAATGTCTTATCAGTGTGTTTCTCACCAGATGGAGCTACTTTAGCTTCAGGTAGTTATGATTAGTCAATCCGTTTATGGGATGTTAAGACAGAATAATAAAAAGCCAAATTAGATGGTCATACTAGTGATGTCAATTCAGTATGTTTCTCACCAGATGGAACTACTTTAGCTTCAGGTAGTTATGATTAGTCGATCCGTTTATGGGATGTTAAGACAGGTAAAAAAAAAGCCAAATTGGATATTTACAATTCAAGGGTTCTCTCTGTTTGCTTCTCACCAGATGGAACTACTTTAGCTTCAGGTAATTATGATTAGTCAATCCGTTTATGGGATGTTAAGACAGGATAATAAAAAGCCAAATTAGATGGTCATACTAGTGATGTCAATTCAGTGTGTTTCTCACCAGATGGAACTACTTTAGCTTCAGGTAGTTATGACTAGTCAATCCGTTTATGGGATGTTAAGACAGGATAATAAAAAGCCAAATTATATGGTCATACTAGTTAGGTCTATTCAGTATGCTTCTCACCAGATAGAACTTTTTTAGCTTCAGGTAGTGCTGATAATTCAATTCGTGTATGGGATGTTAAAACAGGATAATAAAAAGCGAAATTGGATGGTCATAGTTCATGGGTTTAATCAATTTGCTTCTCGCCTGATGGAACTACTTTAGCTTCCGGTAGTGCTGATTATTCAATTCGTGTATGGGATGTTAAAACTGGTTAATAAAAAGCAAAATTAAATGGTCATACTAGTACTGTCTATTCAGTATGCTC